ACAACAATTACTATTTTAAGTTTTCAGCAAATCTTAATGTTCTTGTTGACTTGCCTTATTATCTTGTGCATTTTAGTTATACAGAGTATAATGCAAGTGGCATGCCTTTGATTACCTTATATTGGTTTACATAACCCAAAAGGAAGTCAAAACGTTGATGTTTTGTTCCCTTCTTCACAGATTATGGAAGAGAGGGAGAGTGTAAGCAACTGCCGGTTCATGGTAGTCTTTCAATACGGTTCTGCTGTTCTTTTCAATGTTGATGACAATGACGTTGAGTCTTATCTCGACATGGTTCGTAGACATGCTTCTGGCTTGCTTACAGAAATGAGAAAAGATGGTCGGTGTTCTGTAACCTTTCTGTTGCTTCTTCTTACTACTTGGAAACCATAGTTTTGCTTCAGTAATTATGAAGTGTTTCAATGGACAACCCTTTTCTGGATTTTTTGTGTGTGTAGATTATGCTGTTAAGGAGAAGCCTTTGTTGAATAAGGAAATGCAAGGTGGCCCTGACTACATCGTTCTCAAAACGTTGGATACTGATAGCATTCGTATAATCGGGAGTGTGCTTGGACAAAGTATTGCATTGGATTACTTTGTTTCTCAGGTAACTTGTTCCTTCTCAATGTCTTACCTATACAAGTGTATATCTGTTTCACACATAAAGTGGCAGATGAAAGTATGAGGTGACTGTAAAAAAACTGAATTATGTCGGAATTTTGAGATTTCGAATTTTCTCAGGTTGATAAGTTGGTGGAAGAGTTTGCTGGTATAAACCGCGCAATGGAGAAAACCGGTACTTTTACAATGCACAGGAAAAAGCTCTTCCAACTTGTAGGGAAGGCTAATTCTAATCTAGCTGACGTGATTCTCAGAGTTGGTTTGTTTGACAGGTATTCTGTTAAATCATTTATATATTCTCAACTCACATCCAAAAATCCAACTTTTTGATTTTGGAAGTATGCTCAATTGAAAATTCTTGTGGAAACAATGTACACATAAGCCTCCTATGTTCTGTTGTGTTCTCATAGATCTGAGATCGCTTGGAGAGAGGCTAGATATGCTCAGATATATGAGTACCTAAGAGAAGAGTACGAGGTCACTCAGAGATTCGGGAACCTAGACTTTAAGCTAAAGTTTGTAGAGGTATTAGTATTACATTACTAGGTCGATTTTTTTTATCGATAAACAAATAATGTATTTTTGGTTTTTTGATGTGATCATTTCTATTCAACCGCAGCACAACATTCATTTCCTCCAAGAAGTGATGCAGAACCGACGATCAGATCTTTTAGAATGGTGCATTATCTTCTTACTGACCGTTGAAAACGTTTTATCTATTTACGAGATTGTCCGAGAATCCGGAGGAGTTTCACTCTGATGCTACATATCATTTTAGAGGACTCAAATTCTGTGAACATCAGAAAGAATTTTCTCTCAATCTCAGAATAGCTCATTTGTTTTTATTCTCAGTTTACATCTGTAATAAAATCAGTTTGACTCGCTAGCTTACGCCGCTTATGTCACACATTATGGTTTTGGAAATTAAAATCAATACAAATGTTATGCATCCTTCTTTGTTAATATCAATCCAGCCTTCTAAGCAAGTACTCAACTTGGACTTCCTTTGTGAGGGGCATGATTCTTTCTCCATAGAGTTTAGCGACTAAGCTAGGTTTGATTTTGTAGGACGGATCAGCTCCAGTTTCTGGGTCGTTGATCGTTATGTCTTGACCGAAAATTCTGGCCTTGATCTCAACCCTTTTCTTGATTACTTCTTCAACCGTTTCATACGTTAGAAGTTGCATCAGCTTTGTGCGGTCCTGGAAAGACTCAGCCAGATTAATGACCAAAGAAGATGTCAGATAACGCATAAAGAGAGGGGATTTAACATGAATCAAAATGAGAGTACTTGTTCTAGGATAGCTGTTTCATAGGCAGCTGGAGTTTCACAAAACTTGGCCTCAGCAACGAATTTACCAAAGTGAATTCTCTTTGAAAGTATCTGCAAAGAGAGCCACAAGAATTTTATTCAGTTTCAAGTCTCCAAATCGAGCCATTTGTAATAATGCATGCCAAGCTTCTTGCCTGCAAACACATGGTATCACAGAGAGCAGCTGAACCACAATTGCCGTCATCCCCTGGCTTGACCAGTCTGGGAAGAAGGTGTCTGAAATACATATTCCACACCTTCTTGTTGATGTTTATCGAATCAGCGCAACTATGCAAAACCTGGTTTAGTCGCAAGACAGAAGAGAGAAGAGAAGTTGGTGAACTTAAGGCAAACGTTCCTCACCTTCCGACTTGGGGAGTATGACTAGTTACTTAAAGTATATGATCTATTTGGACACTATCATGTATCTTTTGTAAATTGTTCTGATAAAAATGCAAACCTTTGGAGGCCAAAATTTACCTGTGGGTATCGAATTGGGGGAAGGATAGGCTCCGGCAAGCATTCTGGGAAAAAGGGATGCTCATCAGGACTCTTGTACCTGCCCACCTAATTTCAAGCAATAAAACCATCAACAAAGAGAATAATTATCCGAAACTATGAACTAACATTAGAAGATTTGCTTTATCGACCTTGGCGTGGAGCTTTTCAGTTTCTCTGACCATAAACTCGACCAAAGATCCTTGAAACCCTTCCATAGCAAAGGCATCTTCGTCATATGTATCAGCGTTGTAACGATATTGAGCTCGTTCAAGAAGATTAAAGATAATACTGTCTTCTTGACGAATCAAAGAGTGTCTTATACTGTCAAGTGTCAAACTCTCACTCTCATCGACCCGTAGCCCCCTCGAATATCTGAAAAGAAAACAGCCAAAACACATCAAATGCCTCATCTTTAAGCTAAAACACTATGCATCAAGATCATTGTACTACATAAGATTCATAAGAAAACGACAGGCAAAGACTTGCAACAAGAAGATAACTTCTCAAACTCCTAAAGCTGTAGGAACAAAGACAATGACAATACTCATTAACTTGTAAAAGAATGTGTTAATTCTCGTGCTTTAAGTAAACATTTATGAACACATCAACCTGCCAACACGTTACAAGTGCACAATTTCGTTTTACCGTACAGCTCAGGGCAGGAACCATTTCTCTGCAAACCAGACCGCAAAAGCCATCAGAAAACTGACAACACCAAAACGAACAGAGCAAGAGAAAGCAATTATAAAGCCTGTCTGTGGCTTTTCTTTTCTTTTTTTTTATCTCCGGTTACGATTCTTCAAATCAAAGGAGGAGTCAAAGACAAGACACAACTGGTAAATAAACCGAGCACATGGCGTACACAACAAAAAGGGTATTTTCTCGTTTGAACAAATAAGAAAAGAACAGTACCGGATCGGAGAAGCTGCGGAGAGTCGGAGAGAGAGAGAGCCAGCTAATCCAAACCTTGATTTATAACCAAATGATGATCCAACGGTGAAACAGGAGATGGTTGTG